AAATAGTAAGGAGATATTTGAGTTATTTACTAATAAACTAGTGTTTTCTGAGTCGGTGTCGCAAGGACGAAGTTGCCGATCCTGACTCGCCATCTCCTCAGACATGCCTTTAGAGAGAAGTGCATCTTTACGGATTATGATTATAATGAAAGAGTTTTTGTTTTTGATTTGTTTTATTTCGTTAAGTAGTAATTTAAAGCTTTCTATAGATATATTTATCATGTCTGTGAGGCATGTATTCGCTGAGTATCGGTTCATTTTTGTGAAGCGCTCCTGTTCAAGACCGAGATGGTAGAAAGCGCATCATGTTTGTTTTCTTTATTTTATAAAAGCACAACGTTTTGTTGATATTGTGAGTGCACACAAATAAAAGTAGACCCTTTACCGTTACGAATGATGTATTACTCTTACCTTTATGAGCAAAAATGACAGCGTATCCACTGAAAAAAATGCAAGTGATCGCGCTGGCGCCTCCATGTCCTGCAAAGTGTCTCCGCACAAACTATTGGATATAGCGCACATTTATCTAGGTTTAACGTTTAAACATTGTTATATGCTTGAACTGTTTTATATCTATAGATTTTATTTTAGGCAAGTCGTGATGATTTGAGAAGGCTAAATTGATCAAACATACAGTAGGCTCACTGTCTGCCGCTGGCCGCTTGGTCGTTACTTTAAAAAAACAAAAACGTATATTTAGCGTACAAAGACTTCTCCAAAGGTTTTTTTTTTAAATTAACTTCATAAAAAAATGAAACGAAATATAATCACTTTGCTATTACATACAAAACTGAACTATTTTAATAGCTGAAACAGTAGTATAAGCTGTTTTGGGAGAAGAGGGAAAAAAAGACGGGCTCGGGTCGGTAATTCTGATAAACTGTCGGACACGGGCCGGCTAGGGCCTGAGCGTCTCGGGCCAGGGCCGGGCTAGGGCCTGAATTTGAGGCCCGTGCAGGGCTCTAATCATCTCTTTCCTACTACCATCTGTTTAGCTGCAATTGTGCCATTCACCAGCAGGGGTCACACTGCTGTATCCCCTCCCTGCACTGCTGCATTTCCTGCCAATGGTGTGCTGTTAAAAGGCTCACTGTGTTCATATATATGTGCTCTGTCTATTATAGATGAAAACCATGTCTGTATGCATATCAGACCTCCAGAAGGCTGTCGGCTCTTGCGGGGAGATCGCAGTTGTCTCTGATATGGGTCATTAGAGCTGTACAATTCCACAGTTCCCAGATTCAACAGAACAGTCTTCTGTAAGTAATCCACTACTGCCAGACCATTGCTATTGCCAAATACCACCCTATGACACACATAAAACATAAAAGACAGCAAGTGCTTTTGTCATCAAATTAGAAGGATATTCTTTGGTTTATGCTGGTTTAGTGATTATTTAATAAAATTAATATAATTTATACACACTTACGTTCAAATGTTTGGTGTCAGCAAGATTTTATTTTAAAAAACTTTTATTCAGTAAAGATACATTAAAATGATCAAAAGTGGCAGTAAAGATATTTTATTCTATCCACTTTATTCTATTCTACTTTTTATTTTGAATTCTATTCATCAAAGTGAATCCTGAAAAAAATGGTTTCCACAAAAACACAATTAAGCAATGTAACTTTAATAATAAGAATTTTTTTTAAAAATTCCAAATCAGCATATTAGAATGATTTCTAAAGAATCATGTGACACTGAAGACTGGAGTAACAACATCACAGAAATGAATTTTATTTGAAAAAAAGGTATTTTTAATTGTAATAGTATTTCACAATATTAATGTTTAACTGTATTTTTGATCAAATAAATGCACACTTGGTGAGCATAAGAGATTTCTTTCAACAATATTACAAAATCTTACAGACCCCAAACTTTGAAGGATTGTGTACAAGTTTTATGAAGACTTATGGTAATTTTGTGAGGAACAAACCAATATTGATGTTGTTATTCACTGAAAATCCTGTGAATATTTGAAAATACAGTGGTGTGAAAAAGTGTTGGCCCCCTTCCTGATTTCTTATTTTTTTGCATGTTTGTCACACTTTAATGTTTCAGATCATCAAACAAATTTAAATATTACACAAAGATAATGCAAGTAAATACAAAATGCATTTTTTAAATGATGATTTCATTTATTAAGGGAAAAAAGCTGTCCAAACCTACGTGGTCCTACGTGAAAAATGAATTGCCCCCTCCTGTTAAATCATGAAAGAACTGCAATTAACCAGATTATTTTAGAAAGCTGAGTTAAATTTCACTAGCCACACCCAGGCCTGATTACTGCCAGACCTGTTGAATCAAGAAATCACTTAAATAGAACCTGTCTGACAAAGTGAAGCATGCTTAAATAGCAACACATTATGCCACGATCTAAAGAAATTCAAGAACAGATGAGAATCAAAACAGTTGACATGTATCAGTCTGGAAAGGATTATAAAGCCATTTCTAAGGCTTTGGGACTCCAGCGAACCATGGTCAGAGCCATTATCCACAAATTGAGAAAACTTGGAACAATGGTGAACCTTCCCAGGAGTTGCCGGCCAACCAAAATTACTCCAAGAGCACAACGACGACTCATGCAGGAGGTCATAAAAGAACCCAGAACAACATCTAAAGAACTGATGAGACAAAAGTTGAACTTTTTGGAAGGTGTGTGTCCCATTACATCTGGCGTAAAAGTAACACTGCATTTCAGAAAAAGAACATCATACCAACAGTCAAACAT